TGAAAATTAGCAATTTTAGGTCAACTTCAGGTCATTCATGTCGGGTCGGGTTCGGGTTGACCCAAATAGTGCCGGATCAATTCCGAGTTCGACCCGAACCCGACCCATTGACCTGAATTGACACCCCTACTTTGAGCTTTTACCATGCATTTTATTCTTTTATTTTTTTGGTGAGTTGTGCTCTCAAAAGATTATATATTAATCATTTATGCTCATTTTAATATTTTATCACTAACAATGAGACTCATTCACATTTATTTTTCTCTTGCCTATTTTTCTAGCCGTCTTTTATTTTGGTGTTTTGTCATAATATCTCATTAAGCTTTTATTTTGGTGTTTTTGTCATATCTCATTATTGCACCTATTTTTTTAAAAAAGTTAAAAGACTATTCTTGATAAAATGTAAAGTTTAAAAAAAAAATCATAATATTAAGTTAAGCGTTGCTGAAATGAGATAGGATTAGAGAGAATCGCCTTAAATGGTTTGATCATGTAAAACGGCAGCCTTCCGATAACCCTATTAGGAGAGCAGATGTATTAGATTTAACCTATGTTAAGAAAGTTAGAGGCAGACCTAAAAAGACTTGATTAGAAAATATTAGAAATGACCTTTCTTCATTGGATTTAAATGAAAATTCGACTCTTAACAGGACAAAATGGAGAAAAATGATTCATATGGTCAATCACATATAATGGGATAAAAGCTTGATGTTGTTATCGTTATTGTTTGTAGCCTTTCAACTTTTTGGTCATTTGACAATACATAATGTTTTATTTCTTGCGCTTTGTTCTATAAGGATTACATATTAATTATTTATGCACTCTTCGCCACCAATAATAAAACTCATTCACATTTAATTTTCTCTTGCCTATTTTCTTGAGCTCGTGTGCTCTTTATTTTGGCCTTTTTCTTTTAAGGACACGTTTTTAAACATATTTTTTGACGCTTTACATTTTATTTGCCAAAAATACAAAAGTTTGAAATCTTTAAATCACAAAGGTTTATATAATGGAAACTTAAAGGTGAATAATAAGAGAAAATGGGAACTCAAAGGTGAATGCAGATATAAATATTTATGCAATGGAGCAAAAAGGTCAAAATAATTGCAGAGTGAAGGGTTATGATTTCATGGGAAATTCTTTTGAGAGTAGCAATAGCAGAATCAAACAAACTCAATGAAACCAAGGAGGAAATGGGAGAAAATTAGCTTGCAGAGCATCAGACTTCTATGTTTTTGGCCGGTCCATAAATCCGTCAGCCTTTCCCAACAGATGCTGCAACATGTTACCATCATACATCTGTTTTTTTTTTTTTGTTAATCTTTTCTTTTTAAATCACTTATTATTTATTTATTTATATTTATTTTTTGGCAAAAGATCCCATACACGTTGTCTAACAAACATGGATCCTTCTATTAGAAGTGTCAATTTGAGTCGATGAGTTGGGTTTGGGTCGAACCCGAGTCAACCTGGCTCTAAACAGTTCAACCAGAAACCGAGCCGTTTTTTGCAAACGGGTCGGCTATTTCAACCCAGACCCGACCTGCGCGGGTTGCCGTGTGACACGACCTAACCTGGATTTACTAGATTGGCTAAAAAAGCATGAGTTGAGCTCCTGTTGCCGGCGGCACAGGTGCGCAGCGGCAGCGGCAACATGCAAAGCGACGCGAAGACGACAAAGTGACGCGACCAGCAACCTGTCGGGAAATGCACAATGCGAAGGAACTCGACGCGTTGGGCAACGTGGGCAGTCGGGCACTCGACACGAACATGGTGGGCAGCAGACACGGGCAGAGTTGATATCATTTTCGGGTTTTCGAGTCAACCCGAACCCAACCCCTTTGACAAATGGGTCGACCCGAACCCACATTTTTTCAGGTCGGGTCTAGGTTGGGTTTTGAGTCGTGTCAAAAATTGACGCCCCTACCTTCTATCACAGGATTACTAAGTATTTTATTGGCATTTCTGGTGTAAGCTATTGGTCAAGGCGAAAAAGAAAGCAGGGATTTGAACATCTGGGCTATTCTTTGAAGAAATACCACTTATTTAAATGGCTGGTGATATCAGCAGGTCTAAATCAGTTCACATTCTGTGTAGGATCCTTAAAAGTGAGTGTGTTGAAATGAAAGAAGATGAACAACCATGCCAAAATGTTAATGTAAGACAATAATTTTGGAATTCAATATGGCCATTACCTCTTCACTAAGACTTTTTCAGTCTGAACCCTTCTCTTCAGTTTCTCTCCTTTTCTCATTCCTGAAATCAGAGCAAATCGGCATCAGAGCAAAATACTAGTAAGAGTAATGTAAATGCAACAATTGTGATAGTTTTTTTTTTTTTTAAATACTCAGTTGATTTAAGTATTTATTTTTTTTTTTTAATTTTTCCTTAAAAATAAAACAATTAAAAAACACACTAAACAAACATGTTCGAAAAAGCTAAAAAATAACATAAAATTTACCTCAAGCAGGCCCTTAAATACCTCGTACTGCTGATTATAAAAGGGCATAAACCAGGCATTGCCAAATGGAATTAAACAATGAAGAAAGTAGGAATTTAAAATTGGTTTTCATAACCACAAGCAGTTTGAAAAAACCATGGGGTAGATAAGATGAGGCTTAGAAAGTTTTAAGCCTCTTTTGACCCACTTCTTTTCAATCCGAAGAAATTAGTGTCCTAAGCCAGATTTGAGCTACTTTTTCTCTCTCCTGTAGTGATAAATTGATTGTTTTAATAATGCTTTAAGCAAAATGTGTACTGGGTTAGCAAATTGAAATAAGGTTGCAGAACTCCAATTTTTTCAAATGGAATTGGCAATTGTCTTTTGTGAAAATTACAGCAAAAAGCAGATGCAAACACTAAAATTTATGCGAGATTAAAGTTAAGTCAGAGCATATAAAAAACAGTACCAAAAAACTAATGAAGCCAAAGAAAAGATGGTGAGCACTAAAATTTCATCAACACACAAGATGCTTTTAGAATTTTGCAGATGCCAAAGCTCCCACACTAATAATAGTATTACCAATTCTAGGGGTGGAACTAACTTTAATTTCCAGCAGGGGGGAACTTATAAGTAATTGTTGGTGCTACCTAGAATTTGGCTCGACCCTTCACTATAAGAAAATGGGTCAATAGCGACCCAAATTTGTTCATTCTTTGATTGTCGTACGCTTCGCAAATATATCGGAGGTTCAAGGGGTCAGCGCCCCCTTGCGAATTCTATTTACTATTTGCTGAGGAGCAATTGCCTAAAAACTAGAGTATTTTAAAACTTATAGGGGGGCAATTGCCTAAAAACCATTGTAATAAAGACAAAAATAGATGGAAGGAAACAAATTACGTAATGATAAGATAAAAGAGGATTGCTATGAACTGATCATAAACAAATATCACACAATGGATGAAATTATGCAAAACATATAATAAGATGCAGTAAAGTGCATGGACAAAAAGCTCAAAACAAAATAGACATAAAATAAAGAAAATAGGTACATCTATTTTGATATAAACTATACAAAAATGGGACCCCTCATATATGATGATTATTAAAAGAAAATACAAGTAAAACAGAGATCCCATGAACAGTAGATCAAATAAAAAACCCAACAAAAAAAAGGTTGTAGTAGAGTTAGACTCATTAATGCACAAAGTGGCATGTCAAAAGAAACTAATACAAAAAAACTATATATCCACCACCAGCACTAAAGCAGATAAATAGGTTCCATGCATGCTGACTTGAAAGTAGATTTTCATGTGCTCTAGAAGGCAATGGAAGTTCAACATTACATTCAGCCTAAAGATACTAGATATTTTCTTCTAGTAAAAATTTCTTTCACCCGTTTTAATATTTTGGAACTTTAAATTGAATCTTAAGAGCTAGCTAGAGCATACGTTGTCCCATTTTGATTTCCTATTGAACCTGCTGTCCCTTACTGCATCCACAGTTGTTGAAATTGGCTGCAGCTCATTATTGGCACCGCTTGAAACCCCCACAACTGTTGTTCAGACCAAAAGGATAAACAACAGGTAATATAACATTGGAAGATGCTAATGAAGGTCAGTGAAATCAAAATCATGCAATAACCAAAACTGTTACCTGAAATCTTCTCATTCATCTTTAATGCAGAAGCTGCTTCCCCAGATTGTATGCCTCCAGAAACAAAATCAATTTTTTGACTTCTTTTCCTCTCTTGAGCCTTCCTCTCCATCTCACGTTTCATATCAGCCTCTTTTAGGAGAAAAGTCAAATTTCAGAAGGGGACAATTAATAAGCGCTTACAGTAGTGCATGAATGTGTCTATCAATACAACATGGTTTGACCAGCAACGGATGAACAAAACATAGGTAAGACAGATCATCAGAGGGTATTTCATTGACGAAGAAGATAAAATTTTAAACAAACAATCATAAAACATACGCAATTACATTAGCTGAAAAAAATTACCATTATGCCACCTGACCTTATTTGATAGTATATAAAATGAAATGTCTACAAAGTCATTCTCATAACTACCTATTTGATCAATTGTATATCATCGAGAGACCTTAATTTTCAATCTCCAATTCAGCCTCTTCTATCAAATTTTCCTCACACCCATACAGCTTCATCTAATTTGCCACCCAAGATATTTGGTTGCACGGTATATGTTCATGTCTATTCTCAACATCGTAGCAAATTTGATCCTAAAGTCAATAAGTGTATTTTTCTAGGATACTCTCCAACTAAAAAAAGGGAACAAATATTATTCTCCAACCATCAAAAGATTTTACACCACAATGGATATCTCTTTCTTTGAATAGGTGTCATTTTATCCCAAATCTCATGTTCAGGGGGAGTTCTTTCTTGAGTCTATGCCATTTGCCCACTCAAAGTCATCAAGTTCTTCTCAACCCGTGCTTTTGCCCAAAGACCATAAAGAAGACTTATCCACACCCGTCCTTATTCAATCATCAGTCCAGCTCACAGATGTTTCTTATCCCATGTTTGTTCAATCTATGGCTTTAAAATTTGCTAATGAGAATTTTAAGTCTACATCATGAGGAAAATATAAGAGCTAGAACACGAATCACTGCGAGCATGTGGCCAAGATATTGACTAAATTTCAAGTCCACCTGAAGAAAACATAGGCACTGATAAGGATGGTAATGTGCCAATTCCTAACATTGATGACTCTACAATATCGATTGCATTGAGGAAGGGTGTTAGGAGCTGTACAAGTCATCCAATTGGGAATTACGTTACTTATGAAGGGCTATCACCATCTTACAAAGCATTTGCTACTTTTTTTGGTGAGATTTAGGTCCCTAGTATAATACAAGAGGCATTACAAAATTCAGACCGGAAGAAGTTAGTACAAGATAAGATTGATGCGCTTAAGAAGAATGGAAAATTGACTATTACTGGTTTGTCAGCCATGAAAAGGCCCATGAGGTACAAGTGAATTTTCACTATAAAGTACAAAGAAAATGGATCAGTTGAGAGATTCAAGGCTTGGTTGGTAGCTAGAGAATTTCACAATCCTATGGAATTAACTATCAAGAAACTTTTGCACTTAACTCAAAACTTAACACTATCAAAATTCTTCTCTCAAAAGGAATTATTAAAGTCACAAAGATCAGCAAGAAAATAATAGAAGCTCTAGAATAAGTAGATAAAACATTAAAAAGAAGCCATCAGTGACCTATTTGATCATAGAAGTCACTTTTGTCATATCCTTGTGGGTCAAAGACTTCTGTGCCAAAGCAACTACCAATCTGTTCGATGTCTTGATATCTGACAGCGTGCTGAAGAAAATCTGGATTTCGATAATCCTTCTTTTTACGCAAATCTGCATTGAAGCTTTTCCCAGCCCTTTTATAAGAAAGAAATTTGTTTATCTTTTCCTGAAATAGGTGCAGCGAAGATATTGTTAAGAGGAGAACCGAAAGCAACTTTTTCGAAGACTTCCTAAAAAAGAGAGAGAAATTCAGGTAATAAATAATCATTGATAAAATTCATTTACAGAGATGGATAAAAAAATGCTTAAGATAATTGCAGAAATTGAAATCATATATGAAGCAAGAAATTAACAATGAAGTTCTCTCGGCTAATTATGTTCAGGTGTTTTTAACTTTTCAAAAGTATCTTATATATAAGTCTTGATTTTTGCTACAAAGGTGAACACGTGCACCGCATCCATGGCTTAATGATCATGAACAACACAGTTGAAAATTAGCATCTGCCAATTTGTCAGAGTAGTAATGACTCTTTAGAACTAAACAGTACAGCTCGTCAATGGCAAGAATACAATATGAAGCCAAGGGTGTTGACCTCAATTTTCGCAAATATTCTCGAGCACCTTCGATTGATTCGATTGAACCTCGTCGAGCTCAATTCGAACTCGAATCTATTCGAATTGATTCCAATTAGTCTCGACTGTGTTCAATTAGTCGATTAATTGCATCGAGCTCGATTTGATTTAAATTAATATCGATTTGGGTGTAATTTCATCGACATGATTAAGTCGAACCGCCTCGAGCCCAAACTGATCCCATTTTGGCCTAGGATTGAGCCTGATTTGAGCCCAAATCTGATTCAAATCAACTCAATTTAATTCAAATAAACTCTATTTCGCTTTTGGTTCAATTTGAATTGACTTCCCAAATCAGGAAACTGCCTCGACGGCTCCGATTTCCCCAAAATCCGAAGTCGACCGTTGCCGCAGTATTCAGTCACGTGAGACCCGATTCGCTCGAGAGAGCTGGATTTTTTCGCAGAGAGCGGCACTCTCTCCCTCGGGGTTCCAAGACGGAAATCCCTTCTCCCTCTCTGGTCTCACTAATTTTGCGGAGCCCTAGCCGTCGGCTTCATTGCAAGAGACCGACTTCCCCTCACTGGCTCTCGGTCTCTCTTTCTCTCGCGATCACCCTCTCTCTCTCAAGCTCTCGGATTCGCTCCCTCTCCCTCTCTGGTTCTCGGTCGGAAGCAACCCAGGGAAATCCTGATCTCCCCTCTCCCGCTCTCTCTCTCACACCGGATTCGCCCCCCTCTCTCTATTTTGTTTGCTCAGCCCGATCTCTCCCGCTCTCTTTGTTTGTTCGCTCAGCCCGCTCTCCCTCTCTCGGTGTTCCCCGTTCGCAGACGAGCCGCGCCTCCCTCCCGCTCTCTCCCTCGGCTTCGCACGGCCCAAGACCGGACTCGACAAACTCCTGATTGCTCCCGTCGCTCCTTGCATGCCCGAACAGGAGTCGGTCCTAGCCCTAACCGCCGGCTCCATTGCAAGTAGCTCCTCTTCTTCTTCTTCTTCTCCCGTGTGTAGAAGACCCCGACTGAGCTCTCCCTCCCTCTCCGTCTCTGCTCTATTCGGACTGAAATAGGGAGGCCGATCTCCCTCTCCTAGAGCGAGCCCGTCGTCTTGTCCGACGCTTGGATCTACCCGAGCTCCTCTCTGTGAGTATACTTTCCCTTTCCTTCTTCTTCATTCTTCTTCATCTTCTTTCCCTTTTCCTTACATCTATTTGCTTCCATGTTAATGAATGAGAAGAGTAATCGTGTTTAAATCCTTTGCAAAATTTGAAGAACGAAGTTTCATTATCTATGTGTGTTCATATGTATCTTCTTTATCTCTTTGTTGAAGTTATTGTTACACTAATCATGAAAGGGTCTTTTATGGATTATTTAGAAGGTTTCAATCAAGTAGGCGTATAAATCAAACTTTCATAATAGCTTGTTTTCTACGATCTTACGATTAATGCATATCAAGTGTTTGACAAAATGCTAATGAGAAAATAATAATGTTTGGATGGTTGTTTTCTTAACTCAATGCTTCATGGATATTTATATTCCTTGAAGATATGAGACTAAGAATGAATATTTATGTTGAGAATGAATGATAGCCACTTTGCTCTCTTGTTGTAGTCGACATCACACAATCTATATGCTTTATAATACTAATCTCCATTGGGTGACTTTTCCTTTTTATATAAATTGTGTTAAGTAAGTTGGATTAAAATGACATGATCATGTTCTGGTAAGTTTATTCAAAATCCCATGTTTAGGTTGTCATAAATCATGAGAGGTCATGTTATTGATTGCCGAAATATGCATATAAGATAATCATGGTTATGTTTATTAAGGATACATGTGTAAGCAACATACATGTTGATTTCGGTTACTTAGAAGAGAACTCGTTTGGGAGATTCTAATGTCATTGGAGTCTTTTTATTATATGCTTATTGTCTTGCACTTACTTTGTACCACATGATTTAGAAGTCTTAGGTGTGACATGGCAATACATTTAAAGAGATTATTTTACATCACTTCTTAAACCTTGCATACTAGTCATTTGATTAAATACTTTGTAAAGGTTGTATTCCTTCTGTTATGCCTTTTATTCGGGTATCACTCATACAAAACCTTGTTCCTTAGCTTGGTTATGTCACTGGTTTACTAATTGGTGAAAAGTCTCATGTTTATTAATTGGTGGTTATTGAATCGTTGGATGATTTATGATTTGGAAAAGACATTGGCTACTGGATCTAGTTGTATTTGGTTCATACTCTACTGAAATGATGAAATATTGAGAATAGAACGTGTTTTGCGATAAAGTTTGGGTTGTATGGAGCTATTTTGCCATTCACTAAGGTATGCATATAAACCATTTGCGATAATGCCTCTTGGAGGAGGTACATGTTTAGATACAAAGATAGTGGAGACTTGTTATACTTCGATTCAATACATGATAAATCTTGTGAAAAATTTTATCGTATTAGTATGCGTACATTTCACTTGGCCTATGTGGTTACGAACATGTTATGCCTTGAAAAGATATTTTCATACCATAATGATTATTGATGAGGATTGTTATCATGATTTCTTGTGTAAACTGTTTCATTAAAAAAATGTCATATGGTGTAGAGATTGTCAGTCATGCTAATGAGCTTCCTTGTGCTTCGTCTCCTAGTTGTGATTCATATGTTTATAATATTCTAATAAAAAAATAGTCTGTTTGTTGGAAAGGTTTATACTAGCAAATGATTTCATATCTTACACCTGCATGAAAGTGACTCCTGTTTGGTGGGGCTCTTGAGAATCCCTATCATAAGATTGAGAACATTAATGTTGTCTGCATATAGCTTTGGAGTTTGTGCCCTCTCTTTTATGGCCATTATAAAGTATGGCTAATGTGATATGTGGAGGTTTCTTACACTTTATTCCATAAATGTTCACTACATGAAAGTGTTATGGGTTTACAAGCAAGGTCATCATGCTATTGGCATTAAAATCTTGTGAGCTTTTGTTGGTGAAAGAAATGTGGAACAAAACTCTTTCTCTATACATCTAAGTACATCATGGAAGATAACTTTTCTTTATTTATCATTGCAAGTTAGTCTCCAAAATTGGGTCATTGCATAGAGATTAGTTTTCCTCTCTGATTGTTGTTTATGGTAAAATGAATAGAATAACTGCACTCATTCATATTTGATTGGAAGCCTCCTTTATGAGTTCAATTGTGAAATAATATTGTTGCTTACCATCAAGAAATAGTTTCATGCTTTGCAAGCCATGATTAAACCAGTTTATTCCTTGGATATGTACCTATGTTTTAATGTCTTGGCATGATTGTTCAGTAGATAAGAAAGAAGGAATATTTGAGGTGGCATAGAGTTTCATTCTTAATAAGCTGTTATTCTTTGTTTTTCATGAAGGATCATTCATCCCTATATTAAAGGGTTGATATCAAAGGAGACTTGATACCTTTTCTTTCATTGATTCGTTATGCTCTTCTTGTGGCCTTAGAAAGAGCATGTTGCATTGAATTCCTTTAGTTAAAAGTGCAAATATATGTGGTTTCTGTATGCACCTTTTTGAAATTGAATCATGGAAATTCCTAGATTTCACATAGAGAATGTTATCCAAGTATTGTGATTTATTTGGAGCTTTTGCAAAGTTTAATCATATGTATCGATGTCCCTTATGAGGGGAGTTTATGTGTGGCATATAATTGTGTTGTGATGGCTTTAGTAGAAGCATGTAACATGACTTAGTATATGTCTTACAATTATGTTTGCAACATTCAAAAGCATCTTTTTCTACACATATGACCTTTTATAGTAAAAGATTTTACGCGATGATTTGGAGTATTTCTTTTATGACATGTGTGAAAATGAAGTTTTTTTTTATTTGTCACTTAAAAAAAAGATGCATGTTTGAAGTGTTTTGGAGAGTCTTATGAGTTGTTTTATATTTAAAGAGCTTTATGAAATATTTCTCTTTGCTTTTATTGAAGTCTTCTCACGAGTCGCTTTGTGTTGCAAATTTGGGGAAGTTGCTTTTGATTGGAAGGGGTCTTATTTTGCTTCGATCGGAATAATTTATTAGTTGTTTTAGATTTGTTTTTTTTGAAGGATTTTATGCGACGAATTTCGTGAAGGCTTTACAACGAGAGGTTTTATACAACTTTCTTGTTGGAAAGCTTTATGATTTTCTACCCCACTCCAAATGAAAGGAGAGGCACTTGATTATGGGTCGTTTTGGGTAGAATTTTGTGTTGAAAGAGATGATTTTGGTAGATGACTTTTGTAGGATTTTGTGTAGTGTTTTGTTTAGAAATTTTCATTGAGTAGTTTGAGACTCCTAATTCGGTGGTTTGCTTAGTATAGAAGAATCCCTTAGTAGCTTTTCTTAGAACAAGTTAATGATTAGTGCATGAATTGATTTCCTATTGAATAATTTTGATAGAATATTTTGTGGAGATTTTGTAGAGATTCTGTAGAGTTTTGGTGTCAAAAAAAAAAGAGATTTTGATAGATTTCTTTTTGTAGAATTTTGTGTAGTAGCCCATTTGAAAGGTCCTAAAAAAAATTATTTTTTTTTTTGAAAGGTATAATTTGATGATCGGATT